TCCTTCTGTCTGTAACAGCTCAACACAGATCTTTCTCTAGAAACTGAAATACCTTATAGGCCAGCACTCTGAATGAAATGATAAAAATGTTGGCAGTCTTGATGGTGTTTATTTCCCAAACATATTGGCTTGACAGTTTTAAAGACCAGAACTACAGCACACAAGGAAGCAATATGTTAAAGAAGTCAGAGTGCGATTAATGGGGGTGTGAATTGCAGACACAGTCTGTCTTCTCCCAGAAATTCAGGCTAGAAAAATCTACTGTTTATTTTCAAAACCAGGGAAAGTTGTTGTGAGTTTGCTCCTAACTTACGCCATTAAAAGGAGCTGCACCAAACTCTAAAAGAAGCCCGCACAAGGAGACACAGGAGTTCTCTGTGTCAGTTCAAACTCAACTGGCATAGAATGAGATGAACTTTCAGTGAACCCAGTCGGCAAATGAAAATTGGAACTTACCAAAAATTAAAACAAAAAAATAGGTTTCTTAAAATCCAAACTCAGAAGAACATACTGACATTTTAGCATAAGGCAAGTGATTTTTCTAAATATCAGTGTGGAAGTGTAGAAAAAAACAACTTTTCAGAAGTAACACGATCCACAGCACAACGTATTGCTCAGCTGCACAAAAGATCTGAAGTAAGTCAACGCTATGTGATATGATCTGGCACTAAACCGTGCAGCGCAGTTGTTTGTTCACTCAACAACCAGCAAGATCTGCAAAACCGTGTAAAAGAAAATCCTGCATGAAGAGTGACGCAGCCCGGAATCTGGCGACCAGCAGGTTCCTGTCCTGAGGAAAAGAGCTCAAAGTCAGACAGCCCAAACGTTTGAAAGGAAACTCCTGATTTGCACATTATTTACTGTTCTGGAATCATGACAGTGGAAACCATGTGCCAGACAAACACAGTAAAAACAGCTGTGAAAAGCCCAAGGGTCTTTGCAGCCTACTCAGGACACTGAAAACATGCTCCACAGCTGGCATCAGTGGGCAACAGTTCCACCCACTGCTACTGCTATTCAAGGCAAAGAGAACATACATGATCAGGGTTTGCCAGAATCGGGCCTCATGCATAAACAGAATAATTTGTGAGAAACCCATCTTTCTCTACAAAGTGTATTCTCATGAAAATATTTTTTCTCCATTTTCTTAAACCAGATATTTTCATTCTACAATATTCATATCAGAAAATGAGTAACAGAAGCAATGGGGACCGCCAAGCCTGGTGGCCCATCAAGTCAGAGCTTATCCTCATCTCTCTAGCCTTAGGTGTAGTGAGAGCAGACGGGAGAGCATCCTCCTGCAGGGGAGGACAATTCATCACAGCAGTAGAGTTGGGAGGACTGCAGCAACTGGGACTAGGAACCTAATTTGAGACTACCACAGTACACACCAGGGGACTGATTGATCCTATGCCTACCCAATCAGTCCAAAGCAATAAGAGATTTTTTTTCCTTGTTGGCGTTACATTTGCTTTCGAATGTTACGGGATTTGATTTTTTTTTAATGGTATGTCATTTGCTATTGGCTCGCTGTATCTTTTGTGACCAATAAAAAAAAAATGTAATTGCAGTGGGGCGGTGAACGCGTAGCCCAATTGGCTATCGTCGGTGTCAGACGCTCTTAAAGCTCAGATCGTCTGAACAGCTTGTCTATACTATCATTTGAACGGGAACGTGCCGACTCTCCAGACAGCGACGAGATTATCGCAATATTCAATTCCAAGTCCCGACACCTATGTCTGGTCTAGGCGGCCAAAATCGCACAACAAAAGTAGGCACTGGAACAAGTAATAGGTTTATTCCACGCTGAAAAGAGAAGAAAGAGTCCCTGTCTGAGGCGGGACAGGCATCAGGTGTGTCAACCTGACACACCTGAAGAAGCCTCCAAGTCCCAAATGTTGTGTTTTCTTTCTTCCCTTTTCAGCATGGAATTAACCTATTGCTTGTTCCTTTGCAGCTTACGTATGCTGACACAACTACCCACCTGAAAAAGGAGGCTCTGATTGTTTTGTTTCTGTGTTTCCACCATGGCACAGCAGCATTTGGCAGCCTACGTAATTGTTGCTTAACCTGTGTGAGTGAGTGTGTGAGTGTGTGAGAGAGAAAGAGAGGGAGAGAGTCAGTATGTATATATTGTGGCACCTTTGCTTGCCACTGCGACCGAAGAGCGTTCGGCTACGGTGCGTGGTGAAGGGCAGGACGGGAGCCACTGGCTAGTGCTGCTGACCATCCGGAAGAGGTGTACACCGTCTAAAGGTTGCCCAGATCCCTGTAAATAGTTACCCCTGGTTTTTCACCCCCTTTTATACCTGTACACACTTACCACCCTATATCTACATACCTGTACCCCAAATGACCCTAGTGTGTTGTACCCTGCTTTGTCTGTTGTTGCTGCTGCGCCTGGCGCACGTACAACTAATAAGGCACCAAGTTCTTAAATAAAACAGTTTAAGTTCCTGATTCCATTCTCGCCGACCCCGTCGTACTACAATATATATAAGGTTCTGCTAATTTTGCCGTTTTGATTATACCGCATGAGGATTGGATTGTAAATAGTTGGAGGGGTGTCCCTGTGTTGGCAGGACAGTCAGTTACAGCTCAGATCACCTATGTTTGCACAGGCTCACCCAAAAATCAATTCCTGGCTACACCCCTGGTGCCCACAGCCTTTCACTGGAGAGTCCAGCATCCTGACCGCTACTCTACACTGATTGCCACAGACAAAGAGACAGGAACTGCTTCAAGCCAGCACAACTAATAATTAATGACTTGGCATTCCTCTCATATTCTAGCAATGAATTTGAATCAACCTGCGTCTTCACAGGCTGCTTCTTATACAGATATAAGCTTTCCAAGAACCCCTCTACAGCAAGCGTGCTCTTCCAAAACAAGTAAAAGTGAATGAAACGCACCGTGCGCCAACAGAAAAAAAAAGACCATCGACTTCAATTGATTTCGTAAAGGAGTCAGAGGAAAGAATCTAAAACATTTTGGCCAAAATCAAAAAGCTGGACGCTGTCCCAGAAAAGTCCGGATGTTCATTAGATCACACTCCACAATGCTTAAGATCAAAGAAAGGTCAGTTTTATTTTCTCGCTCATCTTTTCTGCTTTTTTTCTTCAGCACAACACACCAGAGCACAATGACCAAACAAAAGAAATCAGGTAACACTCCCCAGCTGTTGCTCACGTCCTGGTTTTGTTGGGGGTTTTTTGTAACGGGCGGAAGGTGTGTTGCCGAATGTGCGCAGAGGTGGTGAAGGCAGAGAAGCAGCGCAGAGCAACAGGTGGCTCCGAGCTGGCGGCAGCCATGTGCACAGACACAGCAATGAGCAAAGAGGCAGGCGGGACAGTCTGAGACAACCTAAAGACCGGCCCGATGGATTGCAAAACGGTAATTTAATCCCACCCTACAATTAAGGCCCACATGACATGGCCAGGACTACTACCAGACGCCGCAGTCTTGAATATCTTTGTGTTCCAGCAATCTCGCAGCCTTCTCTGTCATTGTATAGCTGATCATCGCCCACAAACAGCAAAAAGACAAATGCCTTCCAGTGCTGTCAAATCTTCAGGCAGAAGAGCAAAACACCCAGCACTGGCAGAAGACAAGATGCTTTTGCAGTAACACAACCCGGTGCTTGCTGTGCTGAATAGTGCAAACTCCTCAAATTTTAATTGGCCTACTGGCTGAATCTTCAATTGGTTGCTGGTAGGAAATTCCAACAATGTGAGACCTCTAACTGCACTGACAATCTCAAAGGACTGCAGGGAAACCAAAAATATTTGTCACAAAGCAGTTCAAGTCAATCATGGTTTGAAGATCTCTGTCCGAGCCAATAAAACAAAACAGCAATGTGTTGAATTTTAACTGCACGTTTACTTGGATATATAAATAACTAAATAAGCTAAAGTACCCACCAGCTGGTGTTGGCTTCTACACTAGAACCTACGAATGATGCCCGCTGAGGGATAAATCCATTTTCCCGGGACAGTCTGAGATCTCAAACCCCTCCCAGCATTCTGAACACTAAAAAGCCAAAAGATACTTGTAAACTGCTTATCAATGCAAACCTACAGTAAATAAGAAGATTCTCAGATACATGGATACAACTATCCAGGGTGACCAATGTGGAGTCATATTTAGCCTTTGAACTCCTGGTAGCAAACTTCTTTGGTGCTCATCTTCTTCAACTTCAGATCAGAAGTTTAAAAAGCATTTTGGCAAAACGGTTCAACCTTGGAGAAGCACTGCAGTCAGTCAAACTCCTCAATGTGAAGATTAAAAATTGGAATAAAGAAAGTCCATTAAATTAGGATAGGTTACAACATCCTAATTTCCTCTTGCACATGATTCATCAAAGTTGTCAGACACAGATGCATCACGTTAATAAGGTATCCGACGTCCATCAGACATCCCAAAAGAATGTGGGCTGCTACAGAAGGCGGCATGAGTTAGCTGTACTGCACAGTTTTGAGTGAATCTGAAAGTTATGTATACTAAGATCTCAGATTCTAAATGCACTTTGATATTTTCTTAACATTAAAATGTAAGACTTGATCCAAGAGGATATTCACATTGGTATGGAATGTCCCTCTAGTGCCATATTGCTCCAGAGCTCTGCCTATCTTTTCAAGAGCGTTTCATTTCCCAACCCAAAACAGTGAGAGACCCCGAAAACAAGATCCAGGACGCTCCAATACAATTTTACACCCTTTAGAGTGAGGACAGAACATACAACCCCAACGGCGGCCAGGACGAGACACTGCGAGCCCGCATGTAAAGCTCAGCCGGACTGTAACAAGCCGGGCCTCCGCAGTATCCACCTGTGTAACCCCCGACTCATCAAGGACAGCCGGGCCACACACCTTGTGTTTCTCCCCTCTCTGCAATTACGGCAAACGCGAAACACGTGCCAAAACAAATGAAAAGGAGCGAGATTTGGGGGGGGGGAGAGAATTTAGCAAGTCGGTTGGGAGGAGGCGGCAGTGTTCGCTTACCTTAAAGTCCCGGCTATGCTGCGGGGTGTACTCGAAGGTCCACAGCGCCCTGACCAGTCCGGACAGCTGCTCCGTGACCTCCCCTCTCTCCTGAGGGCCCTTTTTCTGGAGCAGGACGCTGTTGGCCTTCGGCTGGTCGTCGGCGTCCTCGTCCCCACGGTACTGCTCCAGAGCCAGGTACTCCGCGAACAGCTCCGTGTTGCTCAGGCACTGCAGCACGGCGTTCATGAAGCAGGTGTTCCCGTGGTTTTTCAGCCCCGCCACCCCGGGGACCCTGTCTCCGATAAGGAACCCGCCGCAGTCGCTCTCGTCCGACTGGGTGGAGCTCTTGCCCCCCGACTTAAAGGTCGCGAAGCCCCCGTCGTCTTTCTCGTCCTCCACCGGGTGCTCATCGGTGCCGAAGTGGGACAGGGTGGACAGGGTCTTGAGGACCCTGCTCATGAAACTCCCCACGGACCGCACCGAGCCCCGGCGGAACAGCTTCTTGCTGAAGGATTTCTTCTCTTTTGTCGCCGCTTTAGACATCGTACCGCGTCTCTAAGGGCATGCCCGTGTATCTATCCTTTTTTTTTTAAAAAAAAAAGAAGAAACAGGTTCGGTAAGGCTCACTGAAACTGGCTGGGGAGACTTTCAGAGTGCCATTGCGTCCGATTTGAGCTCATCCACGCTGATGGCAATGGGAACTCCACGAACTTATATTATCGATCACGAGAGCTGTTATTATGGCCATTTTTAAATGCCCTGAGCTTGTGCCAGGTCGGAATAAATATTCCCTTTTCAGTTTGCACTCATGTCTACGCCAGTCAAGAAGAGTTTAAGGTCCCATTCACTTCACCTTTACTTTAGCACTACAGTAGGCAGCGTCAATCCTCTTCTGGACGCCACTGTTTCTAGATCCTAAGATAACAATATGTACAAATACAACCCCACTGTAATTACCTCAGTTAAAAGCTAATGCCGTCCCCTCCTTTTACCGAATGTCATTTATATTCTTCGGTGCCATCTTCGGTTTGTTCATTCCAGTTGACTCAAAAAAGGACTTAAAATTGAATCACAAATCGCCGACCCATGACGGAAAACCATGCTGAAAACCAAAAAAATCCAAACCCGGTGGGGGGGGGGGAATGAACTTCGTCCCCACACTGCTTTCCCGATCTTCACACGGCTCATGTATAATTAAATAAACCGCAGCTCCACCCCACCGAATACATTCCCGGCGATTTCAGGTTGCAGGCAAGGAATTCCCCCTTTCGCAGTGAAATGAAGAAACTTTTGCTAGCTGCTACTTTGCCGTTTTCCCAGAGAGTAATTGCTTCCAATGTCTCCCAGCGCCGGCGCTCTGCACTCTAGCCTCTGCCTGCAGGAAAGCCCCCCGAAAGCCCACAGGAGACGCAGAAGTGCCCCTTCCCCCGAAAAAAACTCCGGCTGCAATCCGGGCATCGGAAGATCATGTTTCCTGAGGCTTCGGCCGCTTCTTTTTCCAAGCTTTCGTCGTCTCAGACCAGGAATCTGCCGAACAGATCCAGCTCCATTGCAACGAAGGCCGCTGCTCCCTTCTCCATCAGCAGAAATCACAGACACTGCAGGGCGGTGGTGACGGCTGACGTCACGGCCAAACAAAAAGGGTGTCCACGGCGCGCAGGTAGCGGCTGATCATGCCTGCGAGGAGCGGGGTGGGCTGGCACAATGCGGTGCAGATCTAAATATAACCTTTATTAATCCATTTCTCTTTCAGCGACGAGAAAGCCCACTGCCGTGCCTTAAAACAGACGTTGTCTGTTACAGGAACTTATAAAAATAAAGTCCGGTTGTTGTATAATAAATTGTTGGTGTTCAGAAGTCGGGGTGCTAATATGGTTTTCGCCTTTAGCGTGCCAAGGGTTTACAAACCGCACACACGGCAGATATTTCTAGTGCGATTTAGTGTTCTTTCTTTTTTTGCGGAGCCACACTGGATAAAATGCACATTTCAAGTGAACTCTTGTTTTTTCAGTGTTTATATCACCTGGGTATTAATCTTTTTTAACCTGTTTAATGGCAGTGCCTTTAATGCCAGCCGATTAATGCCGTCGAACTGAAATGTCCTGACCTGAACCTAATTGGAGTCAATAGCAACAGATGTCTGCTACAAACACGTTGGATACTGTCACACTGCTTTTATTTTCAACCACTTTTATCAAAATCACACAACTGACTTCTGTTCTTTCACTTCTAGTTCTGTTTTTACTGTTTTGAGTGTTATCTAGTGTTGTGCTCTTTAAACCACTGACAAAGTATTTTAAGCCATTCACGGATCTTAAATAACTTAGATCACATGGTATAATGTTGCTCAAGTTTTTTCTTCACACCTGTAAAAATTGTTAGAGAACAATTATAATCACTTTATACGGTCCCTCTTCATAGCTGAATGACGACACAGGGTCTTCAATCGGCTTGTTGAACACGTTTAAATATTTGCTTTTTGAAATAGTTGCATCAGATTCATCTGAATTGTGATTGAATATTGCAAAAAAAATCTTAGTCACATCCTCTGGATAAAACGATTTCGATTTGTAATAGCGCTGCTATGTGCATTACCAATAAAGTCATTACCTTAGAACGTCACTAGTCCTTTGAAGCAACATTCAGAGGACTACATTATGGTGAAACTTACAGTACCTTACACTGTTGTGAAATCAACGTTGTAAAGTGTGCGACTTGGCAGGAATCGATTCTGAAGCACAGTAGTCCGTAACTGCTTTAACATTTAACATTAAAAATACTACGTTATTTTATGGGTTCAATACATATATTTAAAGATGTGCATGGAAACTGAATAATACACATGTACAAATAAGCACACATATTTACTTTGAGAAATAAATATATATCCGAAAAAAATAAAATGTTCCAAAATGCATACTCGTGCACACGTTCTACAGACAAATCCATATTATTCTCGTTATTAATTGCGAACAGTCCTTTAGTGATTCTGTATATTTTATTCAGTGGAGTGTCTGCTACCTTTGGTAAATGATTACTCTTATGCTTGCGTGCCTTTCCGCGAGTGAACGCGGACTCTTCAGACCAATCTGTGTAAACCGGAGTCCCTTGCAGTACCGTGAGGAAATGTTGTTTTGAGTGGATCAACGTAATGTGGGTGTTTGACTGGCTTTGAGTCGGTTTTGAGTTTTGGAAAGAGCGAGACGGTTAACATGGATGTGTTAAAGAGAAGTGCATCGGAATTTTACCTTTTGTGTTCCCAGAATTGTTCCTTCTTTAAACCTACGTTATTAGCACGTTTAGAAGTAATCCACGGCCAACAATGACTCAAATGGTTCAAAAGTTTCACAGGAATTTATTGAATTCTCTCTTTTAAGTGGAACTTTAACAAGAAATATGTTTTTCTGTGTGTATTTTCTACTGTTTTCTTCCCTCTGCCCCCTTGTTTATTCCTGTTTGAATGAACTGTCTCTGCCCAAACCTACTACACAAGACTAGCAAGAATTGGATTAATCTTGGGCTGCAGCTCGGGGAGTAGAAACAAGTCCCTGCATGACGACCACAGAAGGATAACGTCCTTACTGCACAGCCCAGGTAGAAGACTAATGAAGGCGAATCAACAAGACAGCACATACTCTTCACCTAAAACTCTCTTTGCTCTTTTCTGTTTATAATGCTTTACATCTAAGGTGGACACTTAATGCCTAGAAGCTGGATCTGTATGTATTACAATGTAATATAATTTACATGTAATTATACTTTTATTTTGTGTGGTCAGCTGATCCCCTATTCAGCTGTTTTATGATTGTATAATTGCTTTTACTATGAAAGCTTTTAGCCTCTTTACCTACAATGGGGAATTGAATTGATGTCTTTGAGTTATTTCTGAAGTAGGTGGCTTCTGCTTCATGTAGCAAAAGCAAGAAAACAGAATTTTTCCATTCCAGTTAATGTTGTTTGTTTGGGTTTTTTTTTTCATCTGAACAATTTCTTGCTTTTCCAGATTGGGCAGTTACAGGAACTATCCACTCATGTAGCTCAAGAACGGAAGAGAGTCAAGACTGACACACAGTAGGAGAGAGAAGGAGTGTAACGAAAAACTAAGTAGTAGTCTTTTTTTTTCTAAATCCAATATCAAGCTTAGGTGTTCCAAATTCTCATTTCTTTGAGCACCACAGAAATTGCAACTTTCTCTTTACTGTCCTACCTTGTATACCTTTGCTTTGTTATTTTAGGGACACCCATGTTGGAAAAGCAACATTTCTTCCATTCAGTTCTACTCCACTATGCACATTTCGCTACAGTAGTTCTACTTTTGATTTTTACCACCAGGAGAAAATCAGGAGATCAAAGATCACAGTCACAGGCCTTTCTGGAATGCAGACGGCAAATGTTGAGTCCATTCTGACAACATAGTTTGCAGACGTTAAAAAGCAATGCGGCAGCATGTTTTGAATTACACAGCTGCTGAAACTGAAATTCCTCCAAAAGTTCAGCACTGGAGAATCTTGCTCACACTAAATCGGACCTTTCTTCAATTACAATTACAGACTACTGTACGACTTCTTCCAGTGTTTTTTTTTTGTCACTGTAAATATTTTAACAAAATGTAAGGTATCTCCATATGCGTAAGTGACAAAGGAGAGGAGGCCATTCAGCTATTTTGGTCTTTTCATTGTCACTAGTTTGATTTTGTCCAGTTGCTTTTTGGGAAAATTGCTTCAAAAACCCAGTCTCCCATAACCCTTCTTGTAATTCCCTGCTACTGTTTCTGGACATGTGTGCATATGCACTAAGCCCGTAGTTGAAAAATGTCCAAAAAACTTACACCTGATAAGAGTATTGTGAGTAATACTAGTTTAGTCCTTCAAACAAATGCTAATCCAGAAGATAATGGACTGTGTACCAATCTGTACATATAGTACAGCCCTGAAGGGTGGATCTGTAATTACCAGATTCTACAATTACATTGACAGTACATTGGTCTGACAAATATTAAAGGGATTAATGAAATTAATGACCAGGAGAGGGTGCACAGCTGCATTTACAAGTTTCTGGTTCCAGTCTGACTGGTTTTTCCACACAGACTCATGACATTGCACTTCTGAACTTTTCTAATCAAACTATCTGTGATGCTTCTAGTGATTCAGTAATGTAAAAAATTTTAATTTGAACAACACCTTATCTTAAAACCTGGTTTGAAGTAATAATAAATTATTTATTGTATTTTATTTTTTTCCTGAAATATATATTGGTTTTCAGTTCCTTCAATTGTTTTTGAATTTCCATAAAATGTATTGCAATATACTATATCTTGCAAGTTACCTTTGTAGCATGCCTTGGACAAAGGCTTCCATAATGTAAGTTCCTGTCAATAAAAAACACAATTCATTCTGAAACCCAGGATCTCTACACGAGGAGGAGGAGCTCATTGTTAGAAAAACATTTTTTATTTCTTTAGTTTAAAAATACTTTGGTGTTGTGAATCTCATAACATCAGGTATCACACTACCTGATCCCAGTGATAAATATTCCCTTATAATCAATTAAGACAGAGTAGTTTTGAATTGCAAGAGGCGACTGACAGGTCGTGATGAAGAGAACGTGGTTGGATAATAATCCTTAAGTAATGTCCAATTCCTGATCCTTGAGGAGCAGTGACCACAGCTGAGCAGGTTATGTGAGTCTTCTTGAACTATCAACAGCGTAAAAACCTGAGCAAAAGGGTTAAAACTGTCCATTTATGTTTTAACTTGTCCATGTAAACCCTCTTCCACAGTTTCAAAGCTTTTGATAATTTAAAGATACATTCTGGACTGTAGCCCTTGACAGAACCAAGAATGTAAACTCCTGATTCTGCCATCCTGATGCCATTCATTCCTTATTGATTTTCTCTCTGGAGCTCTGTGTATTCTCTATAAGCCTGCTGACAGAACCCAAATGATATAAAGTTTACAGAAGCCTAAGGAAAGACATATTCATTCAAGGGTGTAAGTCTGCAAAGTCATTCAATTAAACTAATATGAAGGCGGGATGGGTTGATTTGTACAAAACCCTAAGACCATTAAAAACTGTGGGGCATTCCAGAAAACCTGCTGCCTCGAGTCTTGGTTTTGTCTCAGGACATGATCATTATCTCAGGGTGCAGCAAGTGACAAGGGACTGCTCATTCAGAACTGCATAGAGGAAGGACTGTAATGGTGTACATCAGGGACAGTGGCCAACTCTGGTCCATGGGTGGCATCATTGATCGTCAGCTTTAAAGACTGACAACATACAGAAATTTCTGATCCATTTATTTACTATAGCAGAATTCCAGTCTGTTGCGCATTCTATGGAGTATTGCGGGGCTACAGCCCAAGCCTATGTGTTTTTTGCTGGTTATAATTGACAGAATGACAATGCAGTTTCTATTTGCAGACATTCAGACAAGGCCAACATAGTGCATCTGCTGGAAGACTTTGCCATTCTAAGAAGTCAATGGATTCAGTGGACTCATTCCAAAAAGATAGCGCGGCTTTCCTTCTGTAATGTTTTATTTGTCTGCGGTGACATTTAGCATAGGTGCTAAAAACAGAGTGCACAATTAAGTTCTTAATAAGTATTAAGTATTAATAAGCCAACTATGCTGCCAAGTCAGTGAAAGGCAACACAGAACAGAGGAGGCGCACTAGATGAAGTGTAAGACACTGGCAGACAACAGAAGGAAATGTTTCTGCAAATTCAGACTTACGGTTTCATACCAGGATAAGCCCCAATACCACCAAACCTAAACCCACCCTCTTTTTGATACTTTATCTTATTCCCATGTCATCATGAAACAGTTGTGAATCTTTGGTTGACTCAGCCATGGTTTCTTATGAGAAAAACAATTTACAGAAAACACACTGAGCCATCTGCAGGGTTTCAGTTAACTGCTCTTCACACCACTTTGACATTTCAGAACAATTTCTAAAAACTGCTCCAAGCTATTAATAGAAGAACACAGAATTACTCAAATCTATTAACACAGTTAACACTTGTTAATTATTGTTAATTAGCAGTATTCTGTGCAGTCAGTTACCATTTTATGTAGATCCTTTCACGTTAAAATAAAAATCACCTCTAGTAAAAGTTAAGGTGCATAAATGTCTTTCAATCTAAACTTAAAAATACAAAATGCTGTATATATCCTTGCATATATTGGGAACTGACTGGAACATGGGTCTCCCAGCTCAGACAGTCTTGAAACCCATTTCTCAGTGAAAGCAACTGCAGGCAACAGGAAAGTGCCCTCTGAGCAGAGTCAGGCCATCTCTGTGAAAGCAGATGGTAAGCGTGTAAATGTCCTTATTTTGGGTGGTGCTCTAATTGGTGGTTTGGGATGCTGGGAACTCTCATTGGATATAATAACTGACTTCAAATTTAAGAGGTAAATGTTTCAGACTTTATTTTAATAGTCCTTTAAAAATCCCTTCATCTTTTTACAGTGCTTTCAATTGCAAGAGGTGGTGTGGCTTGAACACGCAGCACGGGAGTCTGCTTCGTCAGAAGCTGTGAAAAGCTCTGTGCACTGAGAACAAGAGAGTCAGCTTGATAATCTACATTTTCTGGCATTTTCTTGTCTTCACATAATTATATCTAATGTTAAAAATCATCAGCACCAAGGGGTACAAACCAACATATTCTAGTTGTATTCACACTTAAGATACAATACATGCAATTCTTCACTTTAAAAGAAAACCATTGTGATGATTAAAATCTTCTCTGGATAGGTTATTAATGTGTTAACAACCCCTTCACCCATTATCGCATCACAATTTCAAAAATCACTCTGTTGATTTTCCTTAATGCTACAAGATGTATAAAATGTGTAAATGTAACAACATGTTCATGCTCCTCCAATATTAAAACAACTGTTGCCTGTGTTTACGGTACACGTTTGTATTCAGACAGCCCAGGATGTTTACCCTAAACATCCTGAAAGGAATAAATTTGTAATTATTTAAACCCTATATACAATATAAGATTCCTCCATATCAGTTAATTACATGAGTGGGTTCCTCCCTGCCTATGAAACAGTGTAAGAATAATAGCAGGCTGCAACAGTCAGAATCCTCTAATTTGAAACAGGATTTATTAGTCCTCAATAATCACGTGTAAATCCTACTTCCTAGAAGGCTCACAAGCTGTTTTTTTCCAATGGGAGAAAAATAATATAAAATAGTCTAGATCAGAGCTACTTAACACACCCTTCTCAATCCACTCAACTGTAGGACTTTAGTACAACTAGCATCTTAATTGTAATAATCTGAATCTTGCTAATCAGCAATTAAATTATTAACAAATTGTGTACAGTACAATTGCACAGTTGGATGCAAAGAGCCAAAGTTGGGATATCTTCTGTTCTGGACTTTGGCCTAGAAACAACTAAAGATGCAAACATAAAAATAGATGTTTAGGAAGCAAGGGCGTTCAGCATTTGAAATATTGTACAAAAAAAACTGCAATCTGTTTTTCCCTCACACCAGCAAGGAAAGGATCAATCCAGTCCAAAAAGTAGCCAGGGAAGGTTAGAGACAAAACCATTTTCCCTTAAGAGGCCAGCGTAATTGGAGAGCGAGAGCTAGCACAGCAGTCTGTGGTCCTCAGCTTCCCCCTCCATCCCCTCCTCTGTGGCTGTAGACTGGCTGATGCACCGCCTCTCCACATGTGTGGAATACACACCCCCAGGGCCCAACGCTCTATGGCATCAGCAGTGAGCTGGGCAGCAGGGGAAAGTGGTCCCAGACAGCGTTACATCACAGAGTGGTTACATAAAGGCCCTAGGCTTAAGCAGTACTTGAGTGGGAGCCAGCAGTGTCAGCAACTCCAGCATCAAGGCTGCTATAAATTGAATTGCTGCCTTTTTTTTGTCTCGCTGCCCATCGTGCGGTTTGAGAACAAAATGTTCTCAGAAAGCTTTCTATTCAGGGACCAGAATTCTGCTTTTATGTTGGCTGTGAGGGCACCACGTATCCGCAGTCAATTTATATAAACAGAGGGCTTTTGAAGGAGAGAAATGACTTTGTCATCAGGTCCCTGCATCTGGAACTGCAGCCTTTGCAGTGACCAGAGAAGGACAGGTTTCACTGACATGTCAGCCGACTGTTTGCAAGCATAGCCTGCAGCAGTCAAATTCAATTCCGTGACTGTTTCCATCACAGAATATCAAACAGTTGGCATTCATCTGACACTCCATGGTAGTGACAAAGAAAGCATGAAGAATGTTGAAACATGCAACCATAATGACAAGTGCAGTCAACTGTCAATTTGGTTCTATTCTAACTAAAAACTTAGATCAGCATTAGGCATTACCAGTTCCATTAGTACATGTGAACTTGCCACAGTTCTAACCGTGAAATACCATTCAGATGGAAATACACCAGCAAAAATACAATTAAGATGGAATTTAAGTGCTTTTATTTAGGCTAATAATGTTACAATTGAAACAAACTGCTAACTAATTTTAAGAGTAACTTAATTATTAATTTCTCTGAGTGATACTTTCTTCTAAAGCAACTCACATTTGTACTCATTTATACAGATGGATATTTTACTAGAACAGTCACTGAAATATCTTGCTGAAGGATGCAACAGCAGTGCCAGGATTTCTGAGCCTAGAGCCCTAATAGGTCCTCCACACTGCTGCCTCATAAAATACATTTAAGACTGTATAATAAGCCTCAGCTAGGGCTAGGGTTAGAGTTTCTCTAACCCTATCCTTTAGAGTTTCTAAAGTTTTTTTAGCATAGGACAAGTCATTTTCTAATGCCTTTCCTTGACACTTGAACAAAAAAGTTAGATTAAGGGCCTTGTAGCCGGTTGTTTTTGGAGAACCAGTTATTCAAGTTCCTGCTCAAGAACACAAAATAAGTCCTGTCAGGAGTGCTTTATTTAAATTCTAGTTTCCCCCAATCCCCCAGTTGCAATGTCAGAGCCACACTGACAGCAGTGTCATCCAATCAGCAGAGAGAAATGAAAGTCCTTCATATTCTGATTTGTCATTCCAAAGTGTCTCTTAGTTACCTACAGCACAAACAAGTCACAATACAATGCTAAAGCAATGGGGATAAGGTGAATATCTAAGCACCATTTTACACCCAATGTTCTTAGAAAAATGCTTTTCAAAACATCCGAATTCAAGAAAGTATTCCTTTAACTACAAATGATTAAGTAGTAAGTAGGGATTAAGGAAATACAGTATTTATCATTTTGATACTACAAATTGTAAAAAATCCTCTCCCACAAGATAGTCACTACAGACTAAAATATTTCCCTTTTATTTTACACTTCTTAAAGAAAAGATTTTAACAATTTATATGATCCGAACTGTACACAGCAAGGAGGTGATGGCCCAGGAAATGTTATGGGGTTTCAGCTGCAAAGCAGCACCAAGCTCCTATAGTTCAGTAATCCAGATTCCTCATGGCTGCAACAGCGGATGACAGTCTTCGGGGAAGGGGTTTGGCTGTCTGTCTGAAGTCCTCGGGTTTGGCCTTTAGGAGGGTCACTATCTGCTGCAGCGTGCGAGATGCCTGCAGTCCCAGGGCGTCCATCACATTGCTCAGGTAATCTACAGAGAAACAAACACCCCCTAAGGAAGACTGATATGCAAAGCAGCACAACTACAGCACTTTTCACACACCTCTAAACCTAAAGCAGTGCTAAGTGCTACACAAGATACATAATAAAGACTATGTGGCAGAAATAACAGGATCCTGGATTGGCTAAAATGGCGGGCCTCTGGGAGCAGCTAGAACAGTTTGAAGAGGATGGGCCTCATCTCTGCAAGACGTCCAAGAATATGTGTATCGCAATCCCACCCCCCCTCTTCCAACAGGGTTACCTTCACTGGCAATTGAGAGGAGGAAAATGCTGTGTGGGTCCAAACTGTGCTGTCTACCAGCTCCTCTGGGTTTCAACAGAACTGAGACCTGAGGGTTGTTCAGGCCAGGAAAGATGGTCAAAGTCTGTCTCAAGATCCTCAAATCAACCACGCAATCCCTGTCACAAGAGAGCCTGTTCATTTGTCTGGGAGTTCCTAATATTTTGTGAGAATCACCCTCTCCTTGTGCCAGTAGCAACACAAACCCCATCATGTAAAATTCCATCTTGTCCTAGTGCGACCTTGTGCTACCTTTTCTTCTGTCCTGCTTCTCCTGCTGCTCCTCCTTCTCTTCTCAAGCACCTGTGCGGGGGAGCTGTCTGCCTGCAGTCTCAGGAATCATCAATCCTGTCTTTACAGACCCCAGCCATGACCCCTGTGTCCCTTCTTCCCTGAAACCCACAGTCTGTCTTAAGCACTCACATCTACGTTTTCATCTATCTCTTATTTCAATATTATGACATATGCCTAGCTTTACGGGTAATTAATCTGTGGTTCTATATTATACAAATTACATAGAATTGTGTTATAATTATTTGAATTGTGTTATAGTTACTTTATGTAAGGCACTTAAGCTAAAGGCATCTTTTAAATGCATGTGTTTCCCTTCATTTTTAGAATGCTGATCCACGTAGGGAAGATCTCTGCTTACATCGAGTGAACAGAAGTGCTGCCAATCTCAACAAACACGGTCATACAGTCATGTTTGAAAGTTTGCATAATTTGAGATTTTTTGTTTTTTTAACCACAAAATGCATATTTAATCAGAATGTGTCACTTCATAAGTATAATTATTCACCAATTTGATTGTTTTTAAAGAAAATGTCCATGCAGCAAAATAATACACACAGTATACAGAAATTGTGCAGGTGCAAAATAAGTGAAGGTAAAGCAGGATCAGATGGGTCAATGACAGAGTGTTAACCAATTAACTGAGATAACCAATGAAACTGAAGATCTGAAATGATGTGTTAGGGAGGAGCAAACAAATAATTGCAAGAAAGTAGGTCAGTTACTGTTCCTACAAGTCTAGCATCATGCCTCGAACTAAGGAAACATCAGCAGATATGAGAAAAAAAAAGTAGTGGATGCTCATCAATCTGGACAAGGTTATACAGCCATTTTGAAAAGATTCGGACTCCATAAATCCAATGCTAGGCAAATAGTATACAGATGAAGGGCATTTAAAACAATGGAAACCCTGCCAAAAGGTGGTCGTCCTCCTAAACTTTCACCCAGGGCCAGAAGGAGAATAATAAAAGAGGTAAAAGGTAATCCTAAAATAACATCCAGAGATCTAGAAGCCTCCCTAGCTGCCTCTGGAGTAGTGGTGCATAGATCAACGATAAGAAGAACCCTGAACAGAAATGCCATCTATGGAAGGGTCACCAGGAAGAAGTCTCTTCTGTCAAAAAAGAACAA